GCACCGGCTCCTGGTGACGTGTGGGTTTGCCTTGGCAGAGCACCCTGCTCCCCCTCCTTTGGCTTCGGGGGCTTGCCCCTGAGGAAGGGATTGCAGAGTATCTTACCTGTCTCAGCGCTAGTGACTGACCTAAAAGTGCTTTAAAAATAGGGGCGTACGAGTCCAGTGTCTGGTCCAGGAGTAACTGACTACTGGAACAATTCAAAGTGGGGGCACCTGTTTGAGGGGATCATTTTAGATGGAGCATTCAGGGCCTGGGGGGCCCTGCCGGTGTGCAGCACCCCCCAGCGAGACTCCTGTGCTCAGGAGCGAGACTGCAGCCGCGGGCAGGAACGGCACCTGTCCGTGGTGCTGAATCGCAGGATGAGCGTGGAATTCAGTGTCCTGCACCGTCACGGCCATGCACCTCCCAGACCCTGTGTCCACACACGTCCTCAGGTCCAGTGGATGGCAGAGCCCTTGCTCGGCCGGCCGCAGCTCACCGTGTGGGAAACCTCATGGTCGGGAGTGTGCGTACATGCGTCCAGGCTGTGAGCCTGTCGCAGCGTTTCACTTTCCTGCGGGTCTCGCCCACTTAATGGTCTTAGGGCAGCACCTGGAAATAAAAACTGCTGTTTATTGAGCACTTACTAGAGGCAGGGACCACACTTGACAACAACTTGATGTGAGTTGTTATGCCCGACGCCGAGGGTCTTAAAGGATCTGAAACAACAGAAAGGTCTGGGAGAGTCTTGCCCTTCCCCTGACCCTTGCTTCGGGGCCTTTCTTTGCCAGTGACCACTTTGGGAAATGGGGGCAAGGGAGGATATGCTGGAATGGGACTGAGGAGAAGCTGAGGTGGTGAGCAGGAGGGAGGAGGGCGGCAAGAGGGGCCTGCCCCTGTCTGCCCCTGGCACCCAGCCTCAGCTGGATGCTGGACGCTGGTGGGCTTATCTGTTTCCCAGGTAAGGCCGTGGGCCTCTCCACTGCCTTCCAGGTACCCCTTTGCACCATTTGTTACAGGAAAACCTGTGTGTAGTGGGAAGCTCCCATTCTGGGCACAGGAATTTGGTGCCCAGATGGTGCCTATGTTTACAAAAGCCCAGCACACTGACAGGACCTGCAGACACATGGATAAATATTTTGCCTTTCTTCTTAGGCAATGTTTGGGTCTTTCAAGTTTAATTTCTGTCAAAGGCAGGATGCTTGTCTCCCGGAGGCGAAGCAAACAGCAAGGCCTCCGTGGGCCTGCTCTGGGGGACCCAGCCGGGCTCCCCGGCCGCCACTTCATGCCTGCCATCATCTCCTGGCTCCTCCAAGTGTCAGTTGGCCTTTTTCCTCACTGGCTGGTGGGCCTGGGGCAGGGGAAGCCGAGGCAGTGGCCTGCAGCTGCCTTGAGCCTGTGGCCACTTGTGGGGCTTGTTTTGAGGCTGCAAGAAGCTGATCTTCGTTAAAAAAAGCAGGTACTTTCCTCAGAGGCAAGTGGCAGGCTCCCGTCTGGCCAATACCCGTGGGATCTTGTTCTGAGTCTCCAAAGCAGGGTCCAGGGAGTGTTTTGTTTGGGCTTGAGATTATTAAGGTCAGGGTAGCCACTCATTTGTGTGATACTGTTGTGCCAATTAGACAAAGCCTGCTCCTCTGGCAGGGGCACCCCCATGCCTAGCTGGGGTGCAGGACCTGGGAAGCAGAGCAGCAGCCAGATTTCAGCACCCAGGTGTGCAGGCCACAGCCTGCACAATGTACATGTCTAAGGTAAGTGCTAATGATATTCTTATTACTGTCTTCTGCCCTTTACACTGTTTCTTTTAAAGTTCTATTTTTTTATTTATGTGTACAAGAACTGGGTAGTGGCCAGAGGTGCAGGGTGGGGTGTGTGTGTGTGTGAGGATTCGCCAGAGACAGTAGGGAGTGGACTGAAATCCACTGCCGAGGGGAGCAGCGGGGAGACAGGAGGGGTCTGCTGTACCCTCTGGGTCAGCTCCCTGGCTGGGGATCGAACTCTTCCTGCAGTGGCTGCCAACAGCTTCTTAGTGCTTTTAACCTGTTGCACCACCAGGGAGCGCCTCGAATGAGGCTTCTTCTGTGTTGCTGTGGTTGCTGAGCCTCCGTGTGTGTGATCACAGACTCAGCAGCAGGGACCCCGTTATTCGTTCTAACCTGGCTCAGTTGTTTCAACATCTGGCGTGTAAGGGAGACGCCTTGGAGCCCACTGTGCCCACTGTGGTCTTGCAAAGGGCGCTCCATGGGCCTCATAACATGTCCATAACGGCTGTTACTGGCGCTTGTCCGGGGCTGGGGGCCGGCCCAGAAAGAAAATGAAGAAGACAAATCCCCGCCCTTGCGAGACTCGTTCTGGCTGGGAAGTGAGGCGTGTGAGCAGATCAGTCACAGCCCATAGGTGGGGGTGCTGCAGCGGGTGGGCACAGGGCGCTCGGAGGGGGTGCTGGGCTGCCCCTGCTGCTGGGGGCCACCTAGACCCAGGGAACACCTTGCTGAGGGGCTGCATCTCGGCCTCCTGTAGGGTCACATCGTTGTGTCTCAGGTGAAGAAAGGCAGCAGCATATAGAGCCATGAATGGATACGGTGCATCCTGGAACAGTGGGAGGGTGCCTGGGAGCGTTCCAGGTTGTGTACTAATTGGGGCCAATGAGGAGCTGGGGTGCTTTGGGGGTGGGTATAGCATGGGAGCGTTCACCTCAGGAGGTGTGAACCGTGCCCCAAATCATGTGCAGCGTTGTAAGCCAACGTGGTCTTTGTGAAAAGGACAAAACCAAAGAGGAGCTGGACTGAAGGTCACTCTGTCTGAAGATTGTGGGGTTTATTCTGCTTGTCAGAGAGGCCTGCACAGGCCCTTGTACGGGTGGTGACCAGGTCCCCATTTCCTTGCTGGAATATGCTCCAAGGAGCAGTGTTCAAGATGGCCCTGCGGAGGGAGACTCTAGAGAGTCCTGGGTTCTAATCCTGATGCTGCCCCGTCCTTAGGCAAGCCACTTCATCTTCCCGAGCCCCCTTACTCCCTTATTTGTCAAGTAGGGATGAGGATAGCAGTGATGCTGACCTAGCTGGTTTAAGTAAAGGATTAAGTAAGAAAAATCTGTGACAGAGCATCCTGCTGGCTGGACAGCACAGAACACGAATGGGTTGGGGGTGAGTGGGGTCCTTCTGCCCATAGGGAGGTTGGCCAAGTCCCAGCAGCCCTTCTGCTGCTGCACACGCCCTCCTGTGGTGTGCACCACACCTGAGGGAAGCTGGAAGCCGCTGGTCTACAGCGCCTGGCGGGTCTTATCTTTCTGGCGAGTCCACAGTGAATGTGGCGGTTGCTTGAGATCCGCCACTATCTGTGTTCATTGTGTGTCTGCACTACTGACGGGGTGCAGGTGGAGGGAGAGGCCTGCGTCTGGGATAGCTGCAGCAAGACGACAGAAGTTGGTGGGCACTGAGGGACTAGGGGAGGGGCACCAATTTGAGAGGGAGAGGCGGAGTGGGGGGAGGATGATGGGATTTTTGATGTTGTAGACCTAATGGGAGATGATGGTATTAGATGGTGGAGATCAGAACACACGGGTTTGAGGGGTGACTATGAGTTGAGGTGGAGACCAGTTGTGGACGACTAATTCGGGAAGTTTAACACGTTAGTGAAGAAGGAGGCTGGGTAGGGGAGGCACTCAGGGGTAGGCAGGGCATCGGAAGAGATTTCAGGATGTTGGTAGGCCAAGGAGCAGAGGGGCTGAAGAATTCAAAACAGAAGGGAAAATGTGAGGAGCACTTTCCCTCTATTGACCACTGTCTGTCCTGTTGCAGGAGTGTCCGGCAGTCCTGGCAGCTGGGCAGATGTCCAGATGGGATTTCCAAGTAGGCATGTTTCACGTGGGCCACTGTCTAGCTGCCTGCACTCCTCAGTCACCAGGGATTGGTGCTGCTGACAGTGAGCCGGGATCACGCTCTTCAGCCAGGGGCCACCACTTATAAATTGGAAATCAGTGGGGTGCAAAATGGATGACCATCAAAATCCATTCAGGTGCAAAACCAGATTTTAAAGCCTGGAACCCTTAACAATCACTCCTTTTCTGATTCCTCCCAATGTCGTGGCACTGAGTTTTCAATCCCCCGATGAGGATGAGCGAGGGACAGTAGGATTACTTACCAGAGCCAACGCCTCCTTATCCCCTCTTTTCTGGAATTTGCAAACGCGGTGGGTTTTTGAATGACTACATTGGCAATTCTATTAGCTTCTCTGTGGTGGCAGTTCTCCAACTGAAGTGTGCAACAGAGGCACCTGGAGGGCTTCTGAAGATGCAGGTTGCAGGTCTTGCCTCCAAGTGTCTGACTCAGAGATCTGGTCTCTGAGAAATCGCTAGTTTTGCAAGTTCCCGGGGATGCTGGTGCTCTGATCTCAAGGCCACATGCTGCAGTAAGACATGGGACTAGTTTGATCATTTGCACAACAAACCTACATTGGTTAATAATGGCTTATCAGGAAAGGCCCTGTCAGACCAAGAGTTCATGGTGTAAAGGGGCCTCCATCTCATCTGAGATCCCTGAGAAGACTGTTACAGATGCACAGACTGGTGAGGTTGGGGAGGAGAAGCCCCCCAGGTCACTGTTCACAAGACAGCATGTGCTCAAGGCACAGATGATATCACGGGGGCTTTCTGTGGGCCTGTTGGTCAAGCGGGTGGCATCTTCAATGCCAAATGTCCCCCTCCTGCACTGCCACCCTCCCCCCTGACTTGAAAGTTGATTTTCTAAAGGTTCAACATACGTGGGCAGCACCTTCTTAGCAAACTCTCAGTCTAACTCGGGCTCCTCCCAGCCCCGATGATCCCAGAGGTCCATTTTTTCATCAAAATCAATGGTGCTTGCTCTTCCTGAATCAAAGCTACTGCCTGGTATAAACTGGAGGTATCACCAGGCCCAATACGAAATGAGATTCTTTCCCCAGGAATGGAAAGTGGCCCCGGTAATTGCCCCGGACGCGGTGGCCTCCTCATTGACGTTGGCTTCCTCTCTCTCATTGCCAGGAGAAATCGAGCGATGCACGTACATCAAATACCACTACTCCTCAGCCACCATCCCCAGGAACCTCACTTTCAACATCACGAAGACCATCCGTCAGGATGAGTGGCATGCGCTACGTAAGTACACTTGAGCTTCGGCCTTTGACCTTGGCCTTTGGAAGTGTGGAAGTTTGGATGCCCATTCACGGCTTCATGTGCACAGGCACTGCTCCTTCTCCTGAGTCTGCAGAACATGGTGACTCCTTAAGGTGCCTCTGTCTGTGGGTCGGAACGCCCTCGCTGGTCTGGGTTGTATTGTAGCTGTGAGGGCTTTGCTTCCAAAATTAAGAGAACTAACTCCAAACCAATAATTAAGTAGGTGTCAATGATTTTGCTCTCTGGCAATGCCTGAAGTTTTATCTACTGGATCGCTGACCCCTGGGATTTACCCCAGGATGAACCCAGGTTGTTGGGTCATTATTGTGGCCACGCTCCCTCCTCACCCCACCTCTGTGCTCTTGGTATGGCTGAGACACGCTGGTGGTTGCAAGTCTGTTTTGCAGTGGAATATGCATGAGGTGGGCTCACACGAGTAGGATTTGGTCTTCAGCGAGTTCCTGGGGTGATAGGCGTTGGGAATCGGGGTTGCCAGCGACTGCTCAGCAAAAGTTAGAGAATTTCTTGGTCAGGGATCTTCAGTCTGAAATAATGATGAGAGGGTGATTTGATGAGCAGAGTTATCAGCTGGCTACTTTTATCCTCCTGCTCCGTAGGGGAATAAAGTCTTGCCTGTGCAGGAAGGCGCTGCTCTTGCCGCCACGAATGTTCTGTTACTGGCCTAAGCTCCATGCTTTGTCTGTTCATTTTGTCATTTCTTTTCTAGTCCAGTTTTTTCACATAATGCCCCAAGGTTCAGATTCAGTTTACATTTATATGTGACGGTCTTTATTGTTCCTTGATAGTAAGGCTCTTATGATTAGCAAGTTTTCAGGAAACTCAAAACACCTTTCTCCTCTTCCTCACTGCCTGGTTTTGTGTGGTTTGTATCGGGCTTGCCGGCTGAAGCCCACTTTCAGCTTGTTGTTAACCACACAGCCATAGCTTGGGGTTGGGTGGTGAGCGAGACAAGTGAAATTAAACAAAACAGAGCAATCATTCCTTCATTTGAAGAAAAAGATTGTGGCCAGATATATAGATGGTTGTTACTAAATGCCACTGGCATTAGTGGGGGACCCGTGGTGGAAGGTCAAGTAGTTGTCCCTTCAAAGCGTTATCATTACTGGAGACAGTAACAAACACGGCGTGAGAACAGTGTTCAGAGCGCATGCACTGAACTAGTCATCCCAGATACTTACCAATTTTGATGTGAGATTTGCCTTCAAGACACTAGCAATCAGGGTTATTCATTTCATTTTTCCATGTACACATGTAAGGAGCTTATTTCCCACACTGCATTGGTCTGGAGGGGTCAGTTAGGGATGTTTGAAGACGTGATAATCTTTGCTGATTAAGTGCTTACCTATAACTCAAATATAACTTAAAAGTATATGTAATTTAAGGTAAAATTATAAACTTAAAATATAATTAAAATATATTTAAGCTCTTAAATATAACTTAAAATGTAAGTTATTAGAACTTATATTTAAATGCTTAACAGAATGCAAGAAGAAGTTGTTGGCTACAGTTCAAGTTTGCTCAGTTTTAACCAAAGCTTCTAAGCTTCACTTTGTACCACCAGGCACACAGAGCAAACCGAACCCACAGGAAGTGCTTTTGGGGAGTTCCTGTCTGGAGCTGGAGGAAGGTGGAGGAGAGAGTGGTACATTCATGGAGCAAATATTGACAGGGTGATGTTGTAATTAGAATATAGTATAATTGCTTCGAGCAATTAGGATAGTTGGCGCAAATTTTTCAGAAAGGAGAATCATTGTAGTGCTTTGGGTTAACTGGTAGAGCTCTGGTGAGGGCACACACTGGAAGCCACCAATTCAACAGCTTGCCCATCTCAGTATCTCTGCAGGCATGTCATGTGGTCTTGGCAAAGAGTAGAGAGGAGGCTCCTGCTAAGCCTTGTGGAATCTTCTTTGAGCCCGGTGTCTCCAGTGACCTCATCCCCAAGCTATAGTGCTGTTGGATTTTACTGAATGGGATTGTGTGGCTACTGCAGTGAATTGGGAGCTGGGATCTATTTTGAACCACCGATCACCATCTCCACCACTGATAGGTGCAGAAGTTTGGGACACCTGTTTTGGGTGAAGTGGAGGATGTCCCTTTGGTGGGGGTCCCATCTGCCTCTTTCACAGGGTGGCCTGACGGGCCATTAAACTGGCCACGAACAGTGGCCATTCCTGACATCCATGATAGCTATTTTTAGCTGGAGGGCAGGTGAACATCTGTCACACTGGCAGGTGGCGCTCAATGTAATTGGCCATGCTGCATAATGGGGAAAGCACAGCAAATGTCAATTTCCATTTTTAGGGGTCAGATGTTGATGCTATTTGTGAGGTAGTGGGTCCAGGAGCCCTCTGTGAAATAAAGTAGAAACTATCAACGATTTTGAAAATGCCCGTGATCTGTCATTGGAAATGACATAAAGAAAATCGCACTCTGTTTTTGAGAGTCCTGTATTCTTTAATGCTTTTAGGGGATCAAAATAAATTCATTTGCTGCTAGATTGGTCATCATTTTATAACTTTTGGTAATAATTTGACCATAGCATGTTATATTCTTCCCCCTAAAACTTCCTGAAAATATTTCAGGCTTGGGTTAAACTCAGATGACACTTTTGTCATCAGGAATTTGCATGTGGTCATTGGCCATTGATATGGGAAAAGAATTTCCAAGGAGGAAAGGCATGATTTGGTTTAAAATTAGTCAGTTTTGAATACTGACCTCCACCCATGGGAATTTGGCTGAGAGTTTAGTCTCCGTATGGTCAGGCGAGTAGCAGGTAAAAGAATAAAACTACATTTATGATCCAACAATTCTACCCGCTGGTATCTACTGGCAAAGTGCAAAAACACCAACTTGAAGCGGTGTTTACTGCAGCACTGTTCACAACAGCCAAGTCATGGAAAGAGCCCATGGCCCAAGGACAGACGAGTGGATCAGGGGCGTGGGGCTTATACACACATTGACTCTTGCTCTTGCTCAATGTCGAAGACATTGAGTTAGTGCCATTTGTGACCACATGGACGGAACTACAGGGGATGTACTATGCAAAAGACAAGTGAGGAGGAGAAAGACTAAAACAGAATGGTTTTACTCATCTGTGGAAGGTAGAGAAACAGAACAGCGGGCGAGGCAGAGCCAAGCCGGTAACATGCCCTGGAGCCTGACTGAAGAGTTAAGGCTGGTGGGGGGGAGGGAGGACACGAGGGGGCGGGTGGAGAGCAGGGCGTGGAGGAGGGTAACAGACTAGGGTAGAGGACTGTAGCTGTCCTGGTGGTGGGTGTGAGTGGTCGCATGTACCTGAGCAGGTGCGGTCCTGTACCTCGGAATCACACGCAGTGTTGTAAGTCAGTGTTACCCCAATAAAATAAAATTTTAAAAAAGATTATCTATAGGCCACTGGGCTTAAAACTCCAAGTGTAAAGAGATAATAATCTAGGTGGAGAGTAAAGACCAGAGACCCAAACGTGTGCGTGTATGCGTGCGTGTGTGCACACGGTGCGTGATGCCTGATGCGCCTTGTGTATGAGTTTCAAGTACTGAGTTGTCCGGGTGACAGCCGCAAGGTCCTGACAGAGTGGGGGCCCATGGCCTTAGCCTCCCCAGGCCTACCATCTTCCCGGGGAGCCCACCTACCATCCTACCCATCTGCTGCCCCCCTCCAGTCTCAGTAACCCCAAGAGTGGGGTCTGCCCAGCATCTGGGGTTCTGGCTGTGCCTCATTCCTGATTCAGATGCTCCAGCTGCCTCCAGGCCTGGGAGGACAGGATTGTCACCGGGTCAGCAAGGACAGGAGGGCGACTGCAGGAGGTGAGCTTGGCTGGGTGAGCTGGTTCTGTGTTTTAATGTGGCAAAGTCAGACTAGCAGCGGGCGAGGAGCTGATGCTGCAGGGGCATCTTAAATGCTGCCTCTTCCTCCTCTTGCCAGAACACGTCTCTGCAGGCTTCTCCTGCCCAGCAGTTCAGGCTGAGGTTGCAGTGCAGTCTCCAAGGATTCTGTGTTTTGCTGCAAACCCCAAGTGCCACCGAGGCCATCCCGAGGGGCTGTAATTTTGCTCTTCTTGCTGCTGGCATCGTTTTGCTGTGCCCTGTCTGCACAGCTGGGGGCCTGGTGCTGCTCAGTGCCAGGGGGAGGGGTGCCGATGGACCGTGAGAGGGACTAGATAGCCAGGAGGTGGAGGATACGGCATGTCTGGGTGGCGAGTTCTTCTGCAAGAAGGAGCTGGTGTGGGGTGGGGTGAGGTGAGGCCGGGCTCCCCGTGACCCCGGAGCAGATGACAGGGGGCACCTTGGAAGGGCCCACCCTGGGCAGGCACCCACCAGAGGGGTGAGAAGCATAAGCCTCTCTTCCTCTCTGATCTGGTCTGCTCTGCGGGGCCTCTGCGCAGCTGCTGCCATGATGCCCAGGAGCCAGTCCTGAGGTCGGTGCAGTGCAGAAGCTGGAGGTGTCAGCTCTCACTTGATTGCCCCCAGCAGTGTCAAGCAGGGAGCTGGCCCTCGACTTCTCTGCAATCAGATCTTCTCCATCATCTTTCAAGAGGCTGAGAGCCAAGAAAGCTAGAGGTATTTTTTAAAGCCTCCTTCTGTCAAGATTGAAAGTTTAGCTAATTAGATCGGACGGTCACATGGCACAGATCCAGCTGGGCAGGGAGGGGAAAAGGAAGAGCTATGATTTCCTCCCCCTCCCATACACTCTCAGTGACAGCAGCCACCCAGCCTCCCGAGATCTCTCCCCACCCAGCATCCGGGGACCGCTCATCCCCCACCCAGACACACACACACACACACACACACACACACACACACACACATGCAGGAGACCTAGAACGTGAGCCAGAAGAAGTAAGCTGTCTAGCTACAGAGGGCGGGAGGAGAGGAGGGAGTGGCAGGGACCAGCCAGGGAAGGTAACAGGTGGACCGAGACTGTGGACGAGCAAGGGCTTGTCGGTGGACCTGCTGCCAAGGGG